TTACTATCTCTCTCTCTCTCTCTCTCTCTCTCTCTCTCTCTCTCTCTCGTTCGAAGTACCAAGGCAACGGTTGTTCTGTCAGTGCTTACAATCGCTTTTAATTGTTTCACCCTGTACCTACTCTCGTGAACCTATATGAAACGTATAGCGGGACACGAGCCTCGAGCCATCGGCGCACACACGATAGTATTTGCGATCTTCCTCGAGTAACAAGCCGCGGCATTTTTCCGCCTACATACAGAGCTCCCGTCTCTATCTCTCTCGCCTTTTTCCCGCGCGAGGGCACCCTTCCTCTTTTGCAATCAGCCGATATAAACAGAGACTCTCGCACACTACGGCCTGCCGTCCTAAACCGTTCTCCCGGCTGTACCGCCCGCGCCGTACCACTTATCGATACTGGCTTCGGGCGCTCGGCATTGCTGAACTCTAATGCCTGTTACGTCCGGTGCCCGGCTCTTTGTTCGACCGTTATCGTTAAGAACGGACGAAAACCATCGGTACGTACACAACGGCGACGAGGAACGGAGAACCACCAATCCTGTGCGCGCCGCTCTCAAAAGCGGGCGTTCTCACTTACGTAAGATTCGTAAGCCCCGAGGAATTCGGCATCCGGTTTCTAACGCTGGCATATTAACTCGATTTGCATACAATCGGAGAGCGCTCCCAATGAGCGCGGAAGACCGTCGAAGTCATTACCTGATTTCTTTTTTTGAACAATTAACGGTCACGACTCCGTGTGAACGGATTTGCTCGAAATTGCGCGAAAGCAAATTTAACCGAATGATATTTATTTACATCAAAGTCATGAATTACTTCACACGCTAGTTGTAGTTATGCGGTCGTAATCGTATCTCTTTTCACGACGGTTTTATGTGCGGGAGGTCGAGGGTTGCCGTTTCTGTAAAAGCACGGAAATTGCATTAAGTATGCAATCCCGTCGAATCGTGGTCGCGTATCTTTTCGTCGCACGTCGTTCTCACTGATATACCATAATGGATGAGCGATGTCGACGACATTTTGTCTTCGGAAATGCGTGGAGCCACATTCGGACGATATTAACGATTTGAATATACGAGTATGCGAAACGACGGAAAATCGGAAGCATTTTATCGTCGTTAAAATGCGTGCCGTGATCCGCACCGAGCCGTGGAAACGCGCGAGTCGTAACTCGCGACGCAAGTAACTCCGACGACGAAACGACGAAACGAATACAAATACAGAACGATAGCGATAATGCTGCTACGCGACCGTACATCGCGATCGATACCTTCATGATTTAATGAATGTCGGTGGTACACCGGTAACGGGTGTTTTACGATAATATTATACAGTTTGTACCGTCGCGATCCCACGCTGCGCCATTGTCTGGATCAGTGGAACTAGACTTCCTTACCTGGCCATTGCGACGAGCATTATTCTTGTCTAAACAATGGACGTCGTTCGGATAGATATTAATTGCGGATTGGCTTGCGGTTAACACCGAGAAAATATCCGGCTGTGCACAATGATCGTAACTTCGGAACGACACGAATCGGACACCGATTTCGGAAATGTATATTTTAACTTCAATTTTACGGAACGGCAATTTTCACAATAGGAGAAACGTGAAAGCTTTCTTAGAATTGGAATTTCCAATCTATCCAAGTCCTATCTCATTCTTGAATAAGCAGCATATTACATATTATTGCTAGCAACTATATTATATATCATTATTAGTAATATGATGTTAATTTTTTTGTTCGATCGTTTATTTATAAATACTCAAGAAAAGGAAGAAGAAGTTGACTTTTAACTCTGTATTTTTATTGAATTACGATCGGTCAGTTTGACTCTTGATCCGAGAGTCGAGACATGTGTACGGAAGTCACATCTCTCAGGCCGCTGCAATAACAAGATTTATTGCTTTTGCAGCGATCTAATCCAATGGTATACGAGATTCTCTCTTATCTGGCTGATATGCTTCTCGACAACCAAGAAGATTATCTTTAGAGCTTTACGGAGGAAAGCTCTCGTTAACTAAGATGCGATATCACGGTAATTAGAAGCGTAGTTTTAATAAAAAGCGTACGAACTCGCCGACGATACTAACTTTTTTCGTTGCTTGCGACTTTTTTTATGAATTTCCTACATAGTGGAATCGTAATTGCCATTGCTTATCGCAATATCATGATTGTTATTACTTTCTTATTATTCATAATTATGACAATGCATAATTAGCGACGCGATGTAATTTTCATTTGCTTTTAACGCGCTCAAAAAGCCGCAGGTGTACGGTGTATGATAAGGCCGAAAATTATTACGTCGGGCGCTCTCGAAAGTAACTCTCACGGCCGAATTCATCCCGTTCGTGATTTCGGTAAAAATAAAAATATCACGAAACTCGGGAGAACAGGTGCAATTTTTC